CTTCCGTGGTGAAACATTAACTAATCGCCGCGTTCGTTCGATTGAGAAATAACCGAGAATCGAAACATTTTAGGAATGCGAACTATTTTCCGTGCACCGGACAGTTTCCTCTTTCTCAATAATATATTCTCCACATCTCGGACAGTTGCATCACCGATAAAATACGACGGTACCGTTCGTTATTCAAATCGACAAATTAAGTCAGCCTATAAAGCATAATCTCAACAAGTTTAAATTGCGACACTGTAAACACGCGAGAGTGATCCGTATATTTATTTATGATAATGAAAAATAGAAGGATTGGCTTGAAATACAATTACTTTCCGAATTTGTAAGGTGCTTGGAGAATATATTAGTCAGAAATCGGAATATATTAGTCAGAAGCGGATGCTCCTCTCCTTTTAGTAATTACAGAAGTGTTCAGCATTAAAATTAGCTTCGGTATATTCAAGATTGCGACTCAATACACAAAAATTGAAGATCGATGCCGTTTCGTTTAGTGAAATGGCTGTGACATTTTCGTACTTCATCTTCAGCGTGATAATTGCAGTCCACGATTAGGTATATGGTTACAGCCGAGATCATCAAATCGACCTCAACCGCAAAACCTTTCGAGAATCCTTTCGAACGAGGAATTTTATCGCGACCGTCCAGCTTTTACTACGTGCAGTGTTTTACCCGGATGAAAGCAGATTCATTGACTTCACGATTAAATCCGAGCGACGTTTAAAATGATACAGTACACGTCGACATCGTTTCCTCAAATATAGCGAAAGATCGACTGGATCAATTAACTGATGCAGCGTGAGACGAAGAAGAAAATTTCTCTTCGGGAGTGAACAAGATAATTTTTCCCATAACTTTCGAAGAGGAAGCAGCGCTCGAGTTCTTCTCTCCGTTTACACGCCTCGACGCGGCGTTGTTATCCTTTTTCGGATCCCGTGAGCGATAATCTTGCCGGCGGCAGCGCCGATCAGCACTATAATTTAACGGGTATATTTATCGAAATGACGGCTAGTAACTCTTTCAATAATAAACGACATCGAGCTTTATGGCTCTTATCGCTCACTATTGATGGAAATCATAAATATCCAGATTAGAGAACAGTGTTATAATGCCGTATTTCCCGTGCCTTTCTTGTTTTTTTAACATGCAAGTAAATTTTATATTATCCTTCTTTTCAGCTAATACATTATCTCTTTTTCTCATCCCTATTACATTTACGATTATAACGCGGTTTTTAGCGTAGTCGGTTTTTCTTCTATCCGAAAATTAAGAATAACATTTTTGGCACATGTTTTTTGATCTGCATTTTTTTTAACCGAATTATAATTTACCTGCCTTGATACCTTATGCAAATCGCAAATTTTATGTGTTGTCTCCATTCCCAAGAAGGAATTTCAAGTTAATGGTTTTTCTTATCTTGATTTTTATCGGCATCCACTCAACGGGAATGAACGGAGAACAGAGGCGGGGCGTAAGAATAGAACCCGTTTACCAAGCAGAGTTATCGCTATAATAATGCAGAAGGCACCCCGATTGGCCTTTCGCACTCTCTGCGCATCGCATATACTTCCAGAAACCAGATTTCTGAGCGTCCAAGGTTGTACTGAAAAACGACCGGCTCTTCTGGACATTTGTCGTTGTTTATGCGCGACACGATGAGAGAAAAACGCAGTCGTCTGTGGCTACTTTTAGCCACGGCCTTTCTTTCGACCGCGCTATTAATACCGCTCCGAAGTAGTCCGAAGCGATAACTGAAGAATGCAGCCTAGGCGCTGGACGCGCAGTTTAACGATTTTACCGGCGATTTAATTGCTATAAATTAATTGCATTGTAAAATGTATTGATCTTTAAACCTTCCACGATATTCAGATATCTAGTTATTTTTATTGCCTGTTTTGATAGTGAAGATGAGCCTTATATAAAGACAAACTTTTACGAATTACACAACACGAAATTAATATTATAATTTTCTTCGGAGAAGAAAATAATAGGAGACTAATGATGACATAATGCGCATTCTTTTGTATCACATTTATATTTTTTATTTCTCTTTCTCAGACTGACCATAATAGTAATTATTTCAGCAAGATAATATTTTACGAGAATTATTGATAATAATCTTGTAAACTGTCTCTTTTTCTATATGATAGTAATATAAATAATACTGGTTAATTAATTTATC